CAAAACAAGATTTTGGCCTTGTGAACACAATATCTCTGTAGTGGCTTGAGGGAATTTCTTGAAATTTGGTACAAACATTCACATGGACAAACCGATTCAATTTTGGTGGTCAAAGGTCAAGTTCAGCAAAAATTTCACACTAATGGTTAATACTCTGTATGACTCCGGATAAACTGATATAAATTGAAACTAGTCGAGTGGCAGATGAGGACAAACGCAAGGCAGTAATTCTAGTTAATTTTTAGTATTGTTTTTATTTAAAGATCCCCTCCAGTAAAATCAAGTTTTTCTTTCGTCTTGTGTTCGGAGATGACAGAATCAGAAAGACATTTCTCCATTGAAACAGAGGGAATTTGATATATCTGGCCGGGCATCAGATGATCATATGCTTTATCGACCAACCAGTGTTTTGCTGACATGTGTTGCAGGTTTCTCTTGCTGGCTTAGTTTGTCAAACAAGCTGTCAACCTCGTCTCACAATGAACTGGAGAAAACTCACTTTGTCAAAAATTAACCTCATATTAAAATGATGTCTTGATGAGCAGCTTTTCTCGCTGCATCCAGGAACATATTCAAAGTCATGAAGAATATCAGACGCAACTTCCTCAGCCTCCAGAGAGATGTGAGACAGGGAATTTTCGCCCTCTTCTGCCATGTCCGGTGTGTCGCTGGACCTTTTGATGAGAATGTCAGTCACAGATTTAGTGGCAGACAGGACAGAGATCTTGGATTTTACGCTCTGCTGTGATTCATGTTGCTCCGGTGTTGACTCAGAGCTTTCACATGAGTCAGACTGTATTTTTTGGCCGGGCACTGGGATTTCATGTAGCATGAAAAACCAGGTGTGTGCAACATGAGCTGAAGAGGAGATTAAAGCAGGTGAAGGAGGACTACAAAAGGAAAGCAGAGAGGAAGCTGCAGCACAACAACACCAGAGAGGTGTGGAAGGGGATGAGGACCATCACTGGCTATAAAGAGAAGAACAGCCAAGCAACATCAGGCGATGTGGACAAGGCCAATGAGTTCAACCTGTTCTACAACAGGTTTGACACAGCCTCACATGTTCTCTCTCCCTGTTCTCTTTAAATACAACTCTGAGTCCTGCCACATCCAGAAATACTCTAAATCTATCTATCCATCTAAATATGTTTGTAGCAGGTGCCAAATAAGAATGATAAAAATGCACTTTAATAGCTTGGTTTAAGAGGCCATCATCTTTGATGACCAGAAAACTCAACCAATTAACCTGCAGCTTACTCCAACAGCAGTGTAAATAAGTACTGGAGAATGTACACTACATTGGTTCAAATTAGACTGAATAAATAATTGAAAGTAGAAGATCACACGCATTGCATTGAAAAGCAGTACACTAAGTGGATTTATATACTCTCCTTGTGATAGGCTACCTATGGCTTACAGCACGCATTGTGAATCATGTGGGCTAACTCCAGCCAAAGAAAGGTCACTCTCTACTGCAGCCTCGACTTGTCAAACAGAAAAACAAAACCCCTTTAATTAGATGCTCAACTAATTGCATAATAACTCCCATGGTGCTGTGAGTGAAGTGAGGCATAAGGAGAAAGGAGAATGCTGTCTTTGTTGCCTTTTTGCTGGCTTTGGTTCTGGTAGCTCTTTGGAAATATTGGCCGGTGGATCTGGTTCTGGCTTCCTGATTTGGGGCATTTGGTTCACTTTACTCCTGTCTTCAAATCACATAAAAACAAATATAAAACTAAATAAATAGATAATAAACTTAAAGACGGCAGGTGTAAAAATACAGCAGCATGACCAGAAATTTGTGGCACATGATATGATTGTTATTTGGATAAATTAAATTAGTGCTTCCATTTATTTTCTGACGTTTTTTTCTAATCTTGGCTATTTTCTATGATATTCTGGATAGTTAGGTAGAAGATACTTCTAAAAACTACACATATGAATATCTTTGGTTGAGCTGTTTGCAATGCATAGATACGGTATATGCAAGGGGTCCCCAGTGGACATGCTTCCTTTCAAAGGTCATGACCCCAAAGGTTGGGATGCTGGCTACGATACAATGAAGAGTCTCACTGAAACTAAGTCTCTCTAAGTTTAGGCTTTGCAGTCCCAAGTCCTTGGTTAAGGATTTAAGGATTTACTCATTTATTATATTTTGTGAGATTTGATTTTCACTTCCATACATTACATAACAGTGATAACTGAAGGCAACAAACCTACAGAAATGATCTTTCATCTGTCTCACAGAAAGCATCTGATATAAGAGGATAGCATTTTACATCGCTTTAAGAGCAAATAGTTATGAAAACACTGTACAGTAACCCTAAAACTATTCCCATTTGTTTCCTCTCACACATTTTCACTGGTGGTCTTAGCAAGCTGAGAGCCTGCAAACTCTCTGTTTTGGGTCACCACTTAGAGTATAAAAGGCCCAACAACTCCTTCCCCTCAATGCCCTCCCCTCCCACCCCCCCACAAAAAAAAAGCTGCACAGAATAATGAGCAGTAAACAAGGGGAGTAGCAGAGGGGGGCAAGGGTTCGGGGAGGGGGGGGGTGTGTGGTGTACTCGAACTGAGGGGTGACAAAAGAGCAAAAGAGGGGGTGTCTCCACAGCAACTGAGTCAAGCTGTTTGAGTCACATGGCCCCAGTTTCTTTTGAAACCAGTGAGAAGAGGCTTGAAGCTCAGCCTTCCGTCCATGTTTTTGGATGCCGATGGCAGCAACATGAGTGGAGCCCAAGAGGAGCGAGCAATGACAGCAGACAGCCTCCATCTGAACAGGACCGCAGCTTTAGGTCTGCATGACGAGGAGATGAACACAGCTCTGTTTGGTGCGTTATGTCAGTTAAGTTTCTTTCAGTTCACAGAGACACTGCAATCAAAGGAGACGTTTCTTGTAAACTCAGGTCTTCCTGCCAAACTGTTGAACTGTTGTTTTCTACTTAAGAGCAGCTCTTTGCTCACTCACTAACATTGTTTAGCATGTCATCATCCAATTTATCTGAATGAATGACGCTTCCTTGGTTCTTCTAAGTGAAACATTTGTGTTTTTTCTTCGACGCAGAGTTCAAGGTGTTCAACATTGTCATCATTGCTCTGGCTTTGTGTATCCTCACCATCACCGGCCTCTACTGCATCACCGTCTGCTACAACCGCACCAGGTGAAGATCAGATACCAGTTTCCTTGTTTTGATACTTGAAAGAATTAGCGCCGTAAATTCTCGTGTATGACCTGCTTTTCTCGCCTTTATTAGGATCCATGGATGTATGTTTGTTTCTGTGTAGGTGGAGATTCTGGTTTAATATCATTATGAGATAGCTTCATCATACCCTGTGTAATGATTTATATAAGATTCAGAGAAAAACTTTTACTTTACCAATGAGTGATTGAGCTGCTGAGTCTTAAAAGCTACTGTGAATTCAGAAAGAGTGCAGCAATGTGAAATGACATTGAATTCATTAGTGCAATTAGTACCATCTTCTTCATCAGGCAGTCAAAGCGAGCCCATGTGTATGAGAGTGCAGTGACCCGAGGGGAGCCGACGGACCCTGTCGCAGTTAAAGCAGTGAAGAGGTCGACCAGCTTCATCAACCCTCTTGCCTTCTTCAGGAAACCGGAGGCAGCAAAGGACAACTCCAGGATCTATTACATCTACAGCAACCCGCTGCCTGTAGGGGTGAAGGAGGAGGAGGAGGAGGGGAGGATTAAAGTCCCACAGAGAACAGAGGAGCAAACTGCACTGTCGCTGCCCCTGTCGTTTCAAGAGTACGCCAGTGATCCAAACAGTGGCGTCATCCTGGACCCTCCGATATTTTACATGCAGCTTTAGAGGGAGGTGAAGAGTTAGGCTGTAGGGGTGGGAGGGGTGTAGCGCCACTTGTTTTCAGTCTGAATGTCTGAGGTTTAAGCCCTGCAGCTGTGTCTATCAAAAGTTAAACTACGTCACCATGTGTAGGGCCATTACAGGGGCGCTCTAGCGATTTTACACATCAAGTTCAGTTCACACGTCATTGGGAGTACGCCTAGTTGTATAATGTCTTCCTGGGCTCTGGAGGAGCTTGTGAAGCCCAATAAATTATGCCACAGCAATGCCATTAGGGTTACCCAGGCAGAGGGTTGGAGACTACAAATCTGGAACAGAAAGCCTGTGTTATATGCAGTCATGATGAAGTTTGAAATATGTGGGAGTTTATCAGGCAAGGAGGTCAATATTGCAGTCAAGTTGCATGATAGGGAATGCAGAATCCACAGCTTTACAAGTATGACCTATACTAGGGACTAAAATTCAAGATATTTTGGCCATGACTTCGTTTCAATCAATCAGTGAGAGTACAATCTTTAATCACTGGTGTACCCCTTTAAAACCTTGAAGTGTACTATATAACAAGGAAGTCCAGAGTTTCTCAGCATTTCTACTCCAGAGTAGTTTGAATAAACAGTTTGAAGTTGCTGCTTTGATTCTGTTTCTGAGGACGAAAAAATGTGGGTGGGATCAAGAGCAAACAAGGATGTGTATCCGATAGAGGACGGTCCAGTGGAATTTGACGCTGTAAGGAAAATACCTGTCTTGATGTCACTGGACTAAGGTGCAGCACAGCTCTTAGGCCCAGCGCAGCATTTCACAACATTTCCAGGCAACAGAGGTGCATGCAGGACTTCATTTGAAAGATGCTAAAATCAAGCACAGGATTAATACTGTTGATTACAAAGGCCTGATAACTTAGTGTGTGTTTGGCAACATATTAGGAGGCACTTTTAGCCATCTCTTTGAATGCATATTAGGATAGTATTTAAATACATACTTTTTTTTGTCATATGCAAACTTCATAATTGCAATTTAATTTTTTTACTTCATATAAAAAGGACTTTGTACTTTTCACACCATTTTAGTTTACAAAACCTCACAGGATAACCTCAGAAATGCAGGATTTACACGCTGACATGAGAGTGTCATATGAAACTTTTCATTATTTTGAGACACAAAACATCAAAGCCATGCAAGTGTTTCTTGATTTTCATTGATCTTTAATAAAACTGCTGATACGATGTGCTTTACAAAAAGAAGCCGAGTGTGAGACACAGAGAAAGATGAGGAAAATACAAACGATTATCACTGCAGAGCAATCGATCGTAAAGTACTCCTTTGAAAACATGATTGGATTGCAAAAGAGTCAGTCCTCAGACGATTGGCTGGCTCTCTCTGACCAGCCACTCCAGTGCCTCCTTCCTGCCCTGCCTCTCAAGCTCTGCTCCAACCACCTCCCGGCACTGCCTGTGGTACTCGTTCACCCAGTCGCGCTGCAGGACAGTGAAGTGAGGGTCAAATTGTGAAAAGACTGTGTTTAAGTAGCAAATAATGTACTAGGAATAGATGGAAATATCATCAAATATTGATAGGTCATCTTAAGCTAAACGGTTACTATTTTACCAACAGAATGTAAAGTAGGCTGCATTCAAGTGTTGTTGTATTTCAAGTGTTTATCACATTACCAATAAAAAATCTTTTGAGATGAATTTTAAATTTCATAAGAGTGAATTTTTCTTTGATTAATATCTTGGTGGATATTCCTCACCTCCTTCTGAGTGAGCAGCTCTGTGTTCATCATCTTGACTTGGATAGGGACCAGAGTGAGGGGCTCAAATGTCAGACTCCCTCTGTTTCTGTAGTTGTACTGCGCACGCACATGAGCACGCACATGAGCACGCACACACACACACACACACACACACACACACACACACACACACACACACACACACACACACACGTTTCCTTATCAAAACATTGCAACTTATATACAACTGATCAAGCAAAGGAGTATCACAGCTTTTAAACATTGATTATTAGAACATGTTGATTGTGAGTAAAATGTGTTATATATACAACTTGAGAAGCAGAGTAATCAAATTCTATAGCTTTACAGTGTGAGCACTCCTTCTGTCTAATTCCCCTCTGGTTTAAAGACCTACTTTGGGCTTAGCTGGTACAACAAGGACCACATTTTCCAGGCGAATGCCGAAAGACCCATCTTCATAGTACCCAGGTTCTAGGAAAAAAAAAAGAGACAAGAAATTAGATGAAGATTTAGGACTTCCACTAGGACTACCGCTTCCTGTCTTGGAGAGCTCCATCCACACTCACAAATTTCTAGTACTCTGGTTCCAACATAACAGAAAACTGAAATGCTTAAGGGTTACATGTGACTTTGACAAAGGAAGGACAGTATCTTTAGCTGCCTTAACGTGTCTTATCTACGGGTTTGGCTGTTACATATTGAAGAAGAAAATCAACAGAAGCAGTTTGTTGTTCATTCCTGCACTGCAGCCAGAAGCCAATATGTGACACTACTGAGACCTCTCTAAGGTATTTAATTACAACCTGCTTTTATGTCACTAATGCATAACTTTCACTGACCTGACTATTTTAAATTGCCGTTTATCAACCCCCGCCAAACCCTGCCGTACCATCACTGACGATCATGCCGGCCTCCAGAGGTTCATCGGCGAAGGTCTTGTAGCTGATGCCGCAGGGCCCCTCGTGGACGTTGAGGAAGCAGCCCACGCCGTGGCCTGTACCATGAAGGTAGTCCAGCCCCGACTCCCACAGGGCAGCACGGGCAAATGAATCCAACAGGTGGCCTAGGGAGAGCATGGAAGTTTAGAGCTAGCAATCACAATGCAATACGCAATAAAAACACAAGTCTAAATGTGCCTAAATGTAAAACTGAGTGTATTTGTCCACGTGTTAGCCTGTGAAAATGAATGCATGAATGTACAAATAAGTCATCTTTTGTTCACCATGCGATCAAGTGGGAGAGCTATGATTTACCCCGTTTCCCTCCATCAGATGTAATGCACAGAAACCATATCACAATTCTACTGAAACTTTCTGACATGCCGTATCTTGATGCTGCATTTTCAGTCTGACTGGCCTCATGTAAATGCCACAATTAAAATGTCAAGTTCACTGTAGGTGGAATTATATTTGCTTGAGGTTTAAAAATAGCCCACTGTGTCTCTCCGATTTCAGCAGAAATTCTCCAGTCCTCCCTGGGCGTGACAGCAAATTTCTGACTACACATGACTAGGAACTGATTCACCAAAATGAAGGCTTCATTAATTTTGAACAACAGGTTTACGGATGAGTATTTTTTTTTTTTGTCTGAGAGTGACAATAAAAGATTTATCGTCAACACAATACAGAAGGAAATACTCAAGAAACACATACACACACAAACATATTGGGTGCATTGAACTGGTATGGTACGTGCAGTGTAAGATCAGCCTTATGTCAAAAGAGAGGGGGCACCTTTTGTTCCATTGGGGAAAACAGCAGCACTGACAGCTATGTGGCCCTTCAGTACATAGGTAAAGCATTCCTAGAGCAAGAAACAGAGAGCAAACGATGTGATACACTAAAGAAAATCAAGGTTTGGGATGGATTCAGTCAATGTATAATGACACTGCAGTGGTTCTAAGGTTTAGTTTGTACATGGTGACAATAAAAATAATTCAAACTCGGATTAAAATTAAAATGTACCTTCTCAAAAGCAGATGGTGTCCCAAAGTGCATGGTGCGTGTGACGTCTGTGGTTCCATCACTGCCAAAGACAGAATACAGATGCAGATGTATTTCTTTGTGCTGTGCAAGAAAACACAACCATTCCTATGTTGTCTGCGTTCTCGATGACTGTCTGAATTAAGACATGTAAGTCTTACTAATACTAGACACCACTGGTTGAGCTACATGCATTTGCTGTGTATTAGAATGATCTTGTTTACACAAATTGAGCTCCAGAGTCGATCAGGTAAACTTCATTCATGGTGAGGGTTCTGTTGGTTTCAGGCAGTGGTCTAAAGGAAACAGAAGAAAGACATAGGATAAAGCATTATTAACTATTTTTAAAGAACAACAAAAAAAAGAAAATACAGTTACATAAATTTGTGTCTTTCGCCAGCTGACCTGTAATGTATGATTGCTCCATTTGGACCAACGCTGGAGATTGTGGGGAAACTGAGGCCGACAAAATCTTTCTGTTGACTGAAAAAGAAACAAGATCCATAAGAAAAGCAGCACTCTCACACGGGATGTCTTAAAAAAAATAAATGTTAACATGTGACGGAATTGTTAAAGTTAAAAATAAATAAATATTACACTTTTAGAAGGATGGAACGATACTCTAAAAGGCAGCACACTGACAGAATAATCTTAATTTTAAGGCCTTCAGTAGACATTTTGTGTCACTTCCATGTGCAGCAGGGGGAGCTAATACTCCGGAGTAGTCACTATGAAAGCATATAAACAGCATCTTCCAAACTCATCATGTCAAGCATGAAAGCTGTCGCGAAGTAAAACTGGAAATGCTCATCAGCCAAATGAGGACAATCAACGTGGCAGAAAAAAAAGAGAATAAGAAAGATAAACACACCTGCGTAGTTCTTCAGCCTTATCAGCAGCAGAGATCTCTGTCACAGTGCCTTTTGGAATCTATAAAACAACAACAATAACCGCAGCACCAAGTTGCACAAAGAGGGTTATAGTTCAAATTCAAGCCGAGCGACATCCGTCTGAAATCACGATTCCAACACTGATTAAAGTTTTAGTGCATTCCAGTAACTGTTCAAATCAGACTTTTGACTAGTACTGTACATTCCTATAATATAAGAACAGAAAACTGAATTGGTCAATAATTAAAATAATATGGTGAATGAAAATTATGATCAATTAATCATTTATGTAGGAAAATAATCTGTTGCTCTATCAATACAAATATCCACTTTCTCAAAGACTTGTTTAATTTTCCATTCAAACCCCTGTGAACACAGACAAGAAAAAAATAAAACAAAATACCTCCTTTTCCAACCAAGCAAAGAGTTCACAAAGGGCAACCGCATCCTTGATCTGTTGGTAAACAGAAGAAGAAAGTGAATATTAATTTTTTTTTTATGAGGTTAACAAGACAGTTTACAACAATGTCATAAACTGAATAAAAGCTAAGCACTGCAAATATCAGGCTCAAAGGTTCTTACGTGGGCCATTTTCATGCCTTGAATCTCAGTGGCATTCTTCACAGCCTTGGCGAGGCAGAGTGGGGTGTAGGGAATTGGAGTCCTGTGGGCCTGAAATCGATCAAGCGGAAACATTTGCAATTGTAAGAGTAGTTGATGTTACCTTGATATAAATTTAACAGTGAAATATGTTTACCATGACTTACTATTACTGTGACAAATATTTTGTGCATTGTGCCTACTGTCAAAGCCAAGAGAATGAATACTGATCATCCAAATGTTTAAGAAATGCTGATAATTCAATGGTTCAGTAAATTAACTGGTGAATATTTTCATATGCGGAAGAGTCAAGATTCAACTGGATATCAAAATACAACAGAATGTGTCTGGTTCAAGGATGCATTTCATGTTTCTGTTCATGACAAGTGGCATTCACACTATTATAATTATTATAATATCCATAACACTGAGATGGAAATCTCTGAAATTTTAAATCCTGCAATACAGGTTTTTAGTGAGAACGTACGTAATTTGGGAAAGATACAGATAATGAGATCTGATATGTAGCAGTTTTTCATACTTGGAGAGTACAGTCAAATTTATGAATGAGGAAAAAGACAATCGAGACACAATAAAGCTATTTTTATGTCCACTGTCGTGACCACCAGAGACAATTAACTGTCTTCTAAATGCTACTGCTTCGTGTGTCTGCTCTCTCACCTTGGGGATGACCTGTGTGAGAGCACAGCTGGCTTTGTCACAGATCCACACTTTGTCCTTGGGGCCGAGTGCAGCGCAGATGGCCTGGAGCTCAGTGTAGACCGACTCGTACGGGAAGGTCTGGATGCTCAGCTCAGGCTTGCTGGGAGAGTCCAGCTGCAGATGGTCTCTCAAAGCGGGATCAGAAAGGCGCTTTAGGTCCACAAAAAGCCTGCAGGGAGGAAGGAGCTGGTCAGTAAGGAGGTAAATTCAGGTTAAAAAAAAAAAAAAAAACTTTGGTGGCTTTAATGTATTACTAGGATTATATCTGCCTCAATGGGTTTTGTAAACAATTTCCTACTTAAAAATGTATGACAGCAAATTTGGTTTTTGCTTTATTTGTGCGAATATCATATTTTGAAGATTAGTTACCATGTAAACAGAGGTCATGGTATAGTAATGAATTTAAAAGGTGATCATGTAAACAAAATGCTCTTGAAAGTTCATAAACAGCTAGTGAAAATATAAATTAATATTAATTTGAAGCACTATATAGTGCTTCAAATTAATATTAATTTAATACTATATAGTAATACTACACTATATACTTTTCATCCCTGCTATCTTCTTCTGCCTTTGTCAAATCTTTACTCATTGATATCTGTTGTCTGTAATCAACTACTTCACATGACTGTTAGAAGCCTGTGATCAAGAGGTTTGGTGGTGTCAACAAATTTTGATAAATTCGATGTTTAAATGTTCTAAGGTCTCTTCAGTGTCAGTAAGGATAAAATTAAATGTAAGAGTTTTAATTAACCCCTAAAACTAAATGTAAAAAAACCCCAAAAAGAATAATGTAAATATTACACTTTAGAGTTATAAATATGTTACTTTTGGTCAAAAAGCAGCACACTTTTATTACTATTTTACTAGTAATTTCTACACTGTAATATTGTATTTATTGGACTGTGTGTATGACATTTAGAGCTGTGTTTGTGCCAAAACACTTTCTTGGATATTGAGATATAGAGATAAGATAATGAATAGTTTACTGATCAACTGTGTTGTGTTATATTCCATTACCTTAATGTGTTCATTCCCACAATGGTATATGCAAAGAAAACTGGGTTGTACTCGATGTCGGCACCACGAAGGTTAAAAAGCCCTGAGAAAAAGGAAATAATAGAAGATTACATTTTAATAACAGGTAATGATAATAAAGAAAAACAACTGTTTCATTCATGACAGTGACAATGTCAGCAGCCACTTCATCTGTCCTATTTTGAGCCATTTCAACATGATTTGACATTTCGAATAGTGTATTTCTCATCTCAAACCTCCATGCATGTTGTTTGGTGTTAAATATCAGTGTTATTATTAGACTGTCACTCATCCTCTGTAGATGCCTCAGCAAATCCCCTTCAGTCTAATGCCCATTGAAACTCTCTCGTCTAAATGCTACTTGATGACAATCAAAATCAGCATTCCTCTAATTAACACAAGCTCTCAGACCAAACAATCAGAAACAAGAGCTCATTAGGCACGGTGAACAAGGTGCTCAAACAGGCATCTAGAGGGACACCCGTGTATCCCTGGGTCCTTGGATCGTGATCATGTATCGAAACGGACTTACGTAACAGAAGTGACGGAGAGTCTGCTGCTTGTTTTACACTAATAACTAAAAACTGCTAAAACCTAATGCGACAAACTCTAGCTACAATATTTGGCCCTCAGTTTATAACTCCACTCATAGTCCTGAGCTCAATAAACTGCACTCTTGTCACAAGGTTAAGATTTCTCTTTTGGTTATAAAAAACAGATCAGAACAAAAACAATATCAAGTTTGTTGTCCAGTTCAATTAAAAAGATATGTCAGAGATTTTAAAGGGTGAATTGTTGAAAATTCATTTGGAAAGTGACAAAGTTAATTTACTCAAGTACTGCAGTTAGGTACAATTCTGAAGTTCCTAGTAAATGTACCTGACTTAAAAAATATTATTATTATATTATTATATCATCATGTCTTCATTTGTAGAGTAAATAAATAAATAAATAATAATTGATGATGAAAATGAACCGTACATGCAATCTCGTCCAATGCCGTGGCAACAAACCAGCTGATCTTCCTCTCTGTCATCTTGGCTCGCAATGTGGTGATCTTGTCTTGCCAGGACATACCTACAGGTAGACAGCACCAACATGTCATGACAGTGAATTCACACTCCTCAAAAAACGGTTTTTGAACTAAAGAAAACAAAGGTAAAGGAATGAACAGAATTCAAATTAAGGAAAGCACTTCTCCTCGCAATAAGATAATTCAAAAAATTAGAAGAAAATAATGGTGTTAATGTTCACATGGGATGATTTTAACATCTCTGTATCTCTCAAACAAACCCCTAATTAGCATGTATGTAATAATGCTGTTCGGGCAGTGGGGCACTGACCAGTGTAGTCTAATCCCAGGGTGCGGAGCTGTGTGCTGGGTCTTTTTGGGCGGTCTGTCCAAACCGCATCGATCAGGTTATCCTGCACGGCCACCAGAGAGTGGCCTGCACTGGTCAGCGCCTTGGACATGTTCTTCCACTGATCTGAAACAAAACATCAGAGGATTGTATTAAGATGCACAAGCACTGGTTAAAAACACAAACATTCTGTTGACAACAAGAGAACCGATGTGTCTGATGAGGAGATGCAACATCAGCACCACACCATGAGAGCACTTGTCTGACAGCTTATGAATATTTATTTTACAATTTATATTTTCATACTGCACATTTTAAACTAGCAAAATGTACTGAGCAAATTTCCTGCTGTATACAAGGGGCACAGTGTTCATGCTGCTCTTACTGTAATGTCACTGTGTGTGCTGACTTTCTAATGATGCTGATCCACTGTGCTGAGAGGGAAATGTTTACTGTAACCTACCGGCAGCGATGATCCAAGGATCGACTCCCACTTTAGAGTTCTCTGGCAGGACGCTGATCAGCCAGTCCTCCTGAGAGGGTGTCTCTTTCAGTCCTAAATATGATGATAAAAAACACATTTATCACACAGAGATGTACTTTAAGCCTGACTCATACCACTGTGGAAAATACAGCACTAACAGTTCTTTTTGTCTTCAGGCAGCGTAGACATAAAAAGGTTAACCTTGCTTGGCAAAACAAAACATTTGATTTTCTCTCTCAAGTCACATCAAGAGTCTAGCTGTGATTCACGCCTCATATTCGGTACTCTGACAACAGTTTGATGCTGAGAGTACTTAGCATTTGTGTTATGTATAAAGAGTGACTTCAATACAAAAGTGTGTAGTGTAAATCTGTGATAATATGAGCAAGCACTCAAAAGTATTACCAAAAATAACCACAACTTTTAAAAATGAAAAAAGTGGAGCTTAACAATACAATCAGCTTACACAACATTTCCAAGAGGCAGGTAGTACATTCATCTTGTACAAAAAGAGACACCAAGTAGGACATTACCCATCTTCATGAGGGTCCAGTTGTTGTCCATCTGCTGGCTGGCCTGGAGGAAGTATCGCCCGTCGGTCCACATTGCAGCATACTGCTCTGTGACGATGGCTGTACCTACACATCACAACACACAAAGCAAATTTGACATTTCCACTCACAAATGCTTTGCTGGATCCAGTTTGTACAATGGTAGATCATGAAAGCATGCAGGAAATTTGCATTGATCCTGGGATGGTGATACACTAGTCTATTACTGCCTGTTAACTGTCTGATGTGTCAGCTGTGTTTATAAAGTAAAACACTGCGTCCAAAGTTATTTAATTAGTTCTAAGAAGAAACATACTCAGTGTTATGCTTCTGAAATTACAGCATTGAACGGTCTGAGATTGAGTAAGATCCGCTTCTTTTAAACTGATGTTAGGGGTGTCAGTTTTCCAAGGGTTTTTTATTACAAAAGTAGGCCATCTCTGCTAACGTCATAGAAACTATTGAGTAAGAGTTAAATTGAATCTGAGACGAGATGCGTCAGTATCTGGGTGGCTTACCCTGAATAGGACACAATAGAATAAAAGTTTGATTATCTCTGCAAGTTTGTTTATCACATTGTTGCAGGTTTTTTCCACAATGGAAATTAGATCTTGGCTTCTAGTCTGCCCAACTAAGATTTGAACCCGAGATGACTCATTTAACTTTAAAATATCATTTCCACTCACACACAAGCAAAACATACCTGCTGAGCCATTAAATCCACAGATAAATTCACGTCTGCAGTCACATGGTGCAATGTATTCGCTCTGAGAGGCAAAGAGAGAAAGGCAGAGATCGGCCTCATTAACAATCAGTGTAAAGTGGCCATCAACCAGTCAGCCATTTTGAATGCCACCTTTGCTGCTCTTCTCACATCACGTCTTGTGCATGGAGAGGGAAAAGGGAGGAGCAGTGGGTAGAGGGCTACAATTAATTGTGAAGGTCAGACGAGGACCATCAGAAGTGAATCAACACACACATGAAGTAAGACAGACAGGAGCAGCAAATCCGACACGTCGTATGCATGCATGCATGCATGCCTTTGTTTACAGTTCAGTTTGTTTAATCATAGAAACATGTATTAATACAGGAAATGTATGTTATGTTTTTTTGTGTGGTTTAACTTACCTGGTGGGCATCTCCAGAGGGGACGATGTAGGCCTGTATAGGTTCAGAGAAGTATTTGCAATTCCTCATCGCCTGGCGAAGCTGCCTGAGCAGCTCTCCAGTGATCTTTGGAGACATGGCTGTGTCTGAATCAGGACAAAGAATGATGGCATGCTTTAAAATGACCATAAAATTCAAATAGGCTGATGTTATTTGATACCACGCTTTTTCTAACGCAATAAAATGCAAGATGTTGAATCCAAGAAGTTAAGATAAAGGCTGCTGAGCTAGAACAAGTGCAGACAGTGTTACAGACATTTTATGATATGAAAATAATCTGTTTAATCTGCAAAAGCGGCAACGGCAATTAAAGGCAACCCAACCATTTAAGCAAAAAGCACCAAGACATTCCCACAGTCATTAATAGTTTCAAACCCACACTAATTATCCAGAGATTACCTGACTTTTGAGAAGCCATGTAGACTTCAGGTGCCTGGAGTTGGAAAGAGCCTGACTATCAACGTGGAGCTCAAAGTCACAGTGCACACCTGGATGTGTAACCTGCTGTAACATGCTGATTAAGCAACTGTCACAGGAGCCAGGGTTAAATATTAAAAGAATAATGCAATTGACCTATTTCAACTGCAATAACTTGACAAAGCTGAGACAACATCGCGCAGTGGTGAATTCACTGTCACTGTCCACAGCCTCTGAATGGCGTAAAATCGCCACATCAGCCACAAACCGACCAATCACATTGCAGTCTTCCTCATCGATGAGCTCTCCTATTGGCTAAACGCTCCGCATGCGATTGTTGTTTACAAGTTGTTCTTTAGAGCAATCGGGGGTATATAAGGTTTGACTAACTAGCTAGCTAAGTAGCCACAAAGAAATGTAACATTTGCTTCTGGTTTTCTAAAAAAAAAAACAAAAAAAAAAACTATAATACCACACAGCTTGTTGTTTAAATGGACGGGCATTTTTATAAATCACAGATCATTGTTATCAACAGGCCAACCATTACACACAATAACTAATTGATTCAACGTGTGGCGTTGCATTTAGTAGTGGGTGTGGTAACACGACGGTGGGATGTTTGTAAAGTTGCTAGTCCATTCCGCCAGTTTTACAGCTCTATGTAAACGCTTTTTTGTCAGCTTTGTTAACGAACAACAGAGACAGGCATGGGAAGACCAGCCGTTTCCCCTCGGCTGAAAACAGTCAACATCCCTCTGTGTCGCTCCGTGCAGCCAGGAGACGTTAGCTCCCCAAAACGCCGATAGCTAACGTTCAAGTCCCCCCACATGCAGCCTGCGAAATGCTGAATACACACCCGGTGGTTTCGCCTTGGAAATGTGACTCTTGGGGTTAAAGGGAGAAAACGAAGCGCTCCTTTACCAGCTTGGACCTTGTGTTAATTTACAAAACAGGAGGCTGCCATTTCGTTGTTGACGTTTGCGGTCACGTGACTGCAGTTTCTTCCAGTAGACGCAGAGGGATCCAGACTCGCCTCTTTTTCTGTGAGTAATCATACACAAAGAAAATAATCTTACATAAAAGATACATTACTGCTACCGTATACAAAGAAAACAATCATACATAAAAGATACATCACAATTTTAATATCCCAGTGTATACAAAGAATGATTATTCATAAACTGCATACCACTGCTTTTAATGTTCGACTTTATACAAAGAATAATCACACATAAACTATTTAATATTCCAGGTGAAAAATCACAACACTGTCCTGTGTGCAGCAGCCCAACATTACTGTTGGGATATGGCTCCTTGAAACTGAGAAGAGGGTTTAAAAGGTATCAGGTAAGTCAAAAATATAACTGAATACACCAATAAATAGTACAATTAGTTAAATAATTATAATGGAATGTAAAAGGAATTAACTTAACACTTTTCTTTAGGCCATCAGTCAGCCAACAACCCCAACAATCAGTTGACAAAAGTAATAAAAATTTGAATATTTTCGTCCTCTATTTGTCTTTTACCAGGCCGTTTCATTATTATTATTTAACTCATTGGTTTCCCTGTTTTTGAATATTCATTTATTTATGTCTTGGTTCACATTTAATCATTAGGTTTTGTTTCCTACAATGTATGGACCATTAATATTTCCTGCACTTGCAATATAAAGCTTTACATGTATTTTTACACACCATTTTAATTATTTATCTGTTTTGTTTATTGACCAATTACATTTAACCAATTTGAGAACCTTTTACAGTCTTTCATTAGTTTTAGGGCTCCATAAGAACATTTAGTGGTGTCAATGAGTTGATTTTTCCCTACCTAGATGTATCACTTTTCATTATAAAGGTTTATATGTTTTAATGAATAGTTTTTTAATATATATATATATATATATATATGTATGTAGATTAAGCCCTAAGTAGGATTAGGGTTTTCACAATAATTGTGTTATTTGTTACAAATCATAATAAGTTGTAAATAAATGGGTTTACGTCCAGCTGCTCTGTAGCACTTTTCCAAAACGTCAAAGGTCAATCAATTGGAGCCGCCTACCTAATAAACTAAGAGCTCAAGAGACCAAGTAAGGGTTCTAGAGGAGGATGAAAAACAGTAAACAAGATTTTGGCAGACGAAAATGTAAGGGCTCACAACTGGCCTACACAGCATTAGAAAATGGTTTAAGAACCTTTTAACAAAAGTCATTAGTTACTATTTGCAAACCCTTTTTTAAAGAATGTCAAATTAGATGTACCAAAGTTTGATATGAATGTTCACAGTATTACTGCTCTGCTAAACCACTGTATACACGGTGTACACACATTTACTCATGTGCTGGGATGTTTTCACGGATTTAAAGCAAGAAAAAAAATCACAGTGATTGTTGGCACAGGGCATACAAACATTATTGTCTTTTATTCACAATTTTCCATATATTTACACAAAATTTGACATTGATTCATAGATAGTGCATACATGAATATTAAAAGTCTGGGAATCTGAAAAATGTAACACATTAACCCCCCTCACCCTTTTAACAGTCCAAATGAATAAAACATGAGCAATATTTGTTGTGGGAAAAAAATGAAGCTATACAGTCATTATTTGTTTGCTAATTTATCAGATGACCATTGTACCACATGGTGCGCTTGATTTCATAAACATATTCACAATTTTACAACGGGAGGCTCCATGTATCCCTTCTGATGATGCATGGCACGGCTGAACCTCTGAGCTATAAATAAGCTGTAGAAGGCAGCAGGCAGGCGGCAGCGAACATCAAGCCAAGAAGAAAACTTCCTGGCACCAGTGGCGAAACTGCACTTGGTGAAGGCGTCACATCTGAAAGGTGTCCACAGGTTATTCAAGCAGGGCCCGAAATATTAGAAGAGGCTGTAACTCAAGTGTATGTTATTCTTGTACTCTGACGTCGTGTTATTAAAAGCATATACACACCTCTCCTGAAGCAATTTAACAATAATAAAAAAAAAAATAGTTTGCAATGAATGTTTTAGTTGGATTTAGTATTTTATCAGTGCTTGGCATGGCTTTCATGTTCTCTGGTTTTGAAATGTCTTATGTTATTATTTTGTTTTATATTTTACTTGTTATTGTTACGTTCACTGCAGTTCAACTGTGCCATGTGTTTACTGGAATTTTTTATTTTTTTTTATAAGTCTGAAAGAATAATCTGGAGTATGTTAACTGGACCATCTTGGTATGTAGGAAATCGTTAAAAAAGAGATAGAGATCTTGCACAGGATGGATGGATATTGTGCCCTATTTCCCTCATATATTTGTTGAACAGGAAATATTAGTTTCAGAGAGCTGGTTGTGTTCATAAATACAAGTTAAACTATCCAAGAGTTCTGTTGCTTTCTTAGAGTACATTAACATATTCTCATTCTCATCATGGAGATAAAGTGCGGTTTAAGCGACTGTGTGATTACAGTATGGAGCAATCTTACCTGTACATGAATCAGACTCTCTGAACATGCCCATCAGCTCACTGGTTTTGACAGACCTCAGAAGTTCTGTGCTGACACTCCCTATAAGATACAGAAAATGCTGGGTCACACTTACACTAAGGCAGTCCAAAACACTTGGGCACTCGCACTTCTCACACTTGATAGTAACTGCAGTTGAGTCCAAAAGCAGTTATGGGCTTGTTTTTGCATCATTAAGTCAGATGATGAATGAATTGTGCAGTGCATGTCAAATGTGCCAGAAAGAACAAATAGTTGCTCTTACGCCACATAGAAAGCTTTGTTTTCATTTCAATTGGTTGTCAAGTGCTGAATGTTTGAGTGCTTATCAGGTACTTTTGCTTCAGACAATCATTCCCTTAAAACAATGCAGTGCTGGAGCTGTTAATTGTTTTAGTTTTCAAGTCTCTGAAGCAAATAAAACTCTTATTCTCATCAGACTCAGCTTTATGCTCTCTGAAAACGTTTGTCTGTGCATCTTTCTGCTGTATTACTGTCATAAACATAGTCACAGTAGAGGAGGCCTTCTCAGGAGTTATTACAATAGTAAACTCTTCACCTTGTGGGAGACTTCTGAGGGCATAAATACCTGTCCTGTGCTATACTGTGTGAAACCTCTGTACAGATACTTCTCTGTTCCCCTCACTGGGACAGAGGAAGGGACAGAAAATGAGACAGACAGACACTCAACACCAGCATCAGGTTACTGAGAAATGTTTCAGGTTTTCTAAAGATTTTCAATGCCCATAATAGTTCATTGTCCTGATGAACACAGCCATTCTGGACACACCGCTTGCCCAGATAACTCCTGGAGGCCTGAAGTATCTAAAGCGTTGTCATGACATACATGTTGTACATGCAGTCCGATAGATTCATGTTATAACAGACAAAATGAATAGATCCTGTTTTAAGAGCTATGTTATTCAAAAAGGTCATACCATTGCCTCTTCAATGCAAATTAGACACGTTGTGTTGATAGGGAAACATCCTTTTTTTTAGGGGGTTCCTGCCTTACCAGACACCATGAAGTTGACTTGCTGGCACCTTCCACCTGCTGCAGAGAGGGGAGAGCTGGGGAGGATGGTGACTCTTGCCATTTCCAACTGCAGGACATTTGCAACCCTCCTACGGAAGTCATATCTGGGCAAAAAGAAATTAAACAATAACTTTGTAGTTACATAGTGCAACGCTTACCAGGGGATACCAGGAAATACATTGTTTTCATTGCATTCACTCTAATCAGATCCACGTACGCTCAACCTGGGGTATTCATAGCACTGCAGGAATGACAATAACATCTTAGCAGCATGGAAGATGCATTTTTACGATATGAATTACTAACACGGGAGTCATGTTTTAAATTAAAGCTAGAGTAAGCTATCTTAATCTAATAAAAATTCAGCTAATATCTCCTTATGGTCCACTAGCTGTCTGCTCTGTGTGTGTGCTGAGAACAAATCTGGTGTTCCTACACCGTCCTGTTTCAGTAAATGTGAAATCAACAATTGGCTTGCACAGAGCCGTTTCAGCCAATCAGAAACAGGGGGCGTTTGTGCTCGTGCACAGGACAAGGGAAAGAAACAGATGCCCTCCTCAGACCTGGCATTAACGTGTGTCTCAGGTGATCAGATCACAAGTGGACAGATCTAAGTACGTCAGTTCACACCTGGCATTAATGTGTCTTGAGTGACCATGACCCTGTATGCGAATAACCACGTATGTGTTGTTGTTTTTAGCCAATCCGACAGTGACAGATGGGTCTGTTGTCAATTTGTTTGTGTAATAGAGAGAGCAAGAGAGAGAGAGACAGGGGTAAGGTGGGGCTTAGCAAATAAAAGCGCTGCACAGAGCTCTACTGTGAAATACAGTTTTAGCCATTTGAAATGGTAAAATATTTTCGGTTCATTCATAAACTGCAGCGGGACTAATCATATGATGGCAGGGCGTGGTGTGTCCTGGGCCACACATTCACATTTCATGAGAAGCCTTGATGGAAAAATGTCTTGATTGCCATGTCCTTAAATTACCTTGTCTGACCTTCTCTTGTGCTTACCAAACTTCTCTATTGTATTTCTAGAGAAATGTGTTAAGCTACATGGTGTAACACTGATCATTTTATTCTGTATGCAATAAGGATTAATTTCCCAACATTTGAAAAAATGCTTTCCTGATTGCATTTTTCCTACTTCTTTATTCATAAGTAACATTTGTACACAGTGCCAAAGTGCTGTTCACCTAAAAATGTACACATACAGAAGTTACTTTACGCCATTCAGTGTAGGAGTCACTGCGGTAGGTACAGTATGATTCATGCCAGTAGAAACCACTGTACATGTCTGCAAACTACTACAGAGACCCACCCACTAATTTATGAAGTCAAAAATAGTCACACGGTATTTACAGGAACAAGAATCTGTAATTAGATAAATACTCTGATTACAAACATACAAGACAAATAAAGCATGTTCTGCTCAGGCAAACATGGAAAGTCTCCAAAGAGATTAAAGATCAATTATTAATCATACAGTATGACTTTTTATTACACGCACCTGCTGAAGTTAGTCACTCTGAGAAAGGTCTGCTCTGCTGAAGGGGATTCTGGGAGGATGTCAGCACATGCGATGATTCTGCTTCCGTTCTTCAGCACCAGAGACCTGTGGACCACTAAAAACACAAAGAAACATGAACTACATTTCTTCTTTGCACATTATGATATTCACTAAACATGAGAAACTTCCTCTCCTGAATTAGCATTGCTAATAAAGAAGAACTTTTTCACCACTGTGATATACACATTCATTATCATTTCACTAGAAATAGCTCTGTCAGTGTGGTACCTGTGTTGTCTCCAGAGAGCTGGATGATTCTGTCAGTGTAGAGCTGACCCTCTGTCAGCCTGAAAGGGCCTTGCCTTGTGGATATCTCCCCCACCACACAGCTCAGAGGATATTGTAATGAACAGCTGTTCTAAAGGGGGAAGAGAGAGAAGGAAGCAGATCTCACATTTACCTCAAAAAAGATATTTGGCACGATAACTGCGACTGGTGACGTGACAATTTAATTGCAATGTGACTTCTTTCTCTGCGCTGCTTGACTTTTCTTTACCTGGGGCAAATACAAATATCCTTGTAATATCTTAATTCATTATTTACAGAAATATTTGTTGATTTAATTTGTGTACTTTCACAAATTACACTATCATAAGTGTGTAACAAGAAAGTATCTCTATCATCTATGAAGCAGTTTATTCATCAGGCTGTTGGATTATACAACCAGTTAAACTGATCTCAGTTAGTTGCTTTGATGATGGATTTATTAATGGTGTCTTCATATAACCGTCAGTATTGTAATCCAGATTTTCTGTGAGCTGCTATCAAGTTTTATCACTTTGCATGTAGAAAATTTAGTTTAAGACCACCAAAACAAATATCTGGGTTTACAGAAACTAAATCCTTATAATACTTAAATAACAGCTCTGCATAAATTCTCACAGCATAAAACAAAAATGCCCTAAAATGTCAATAATAATAAGACGCAGATTAGATTTACACTGCTGATTTAGCAGCTTCAGCAGTAAAGTATCAGAGAGGAGGCACAGAAGTAAAATAAAAAACAGTGTGGACTCACCGATGATGTCATGTTGAAGGGATTGTACGTGCCTCCCACATTCTTGCACTGGCTGTCAGCGCCCATGCGGTTGCTGGTGATGAACAAGGACACCTCAGTCGGCTGCACAAAGGGGTAAAATACAAGTGTGAGTATGTGTACGTACTGTTTTTTGTTTTTTTGTTAGTTTGTTTGTTTGCTGTGCACACATATCAAACAAATCTATACTATATCTATACTCTACATCTATACTCCCTTCTAAATCCTGCTACCGTCAAAGGCAAGGAACTTAACTTGCTGGAGGACAGTAAATATCTGAGAACTTCAATCACCCTGCACCATATTATTTATCCACCCTCACTGTACTGCAGCAATGCACAACCTCTTCTCAGATTATAGGGCACTGGTAGATTCTTCTGAGAATCAAGAAAACTGGGAGCAAAATTCTGTCTTGTGAGTGAGTGCCTCTTGCCACTGGATTCAGCTCCATTCTTAAGAAGGAAATTAAACTCAACACCTTCCTTTTGTCACAATCATAAAACCAATCCTGGTACTATCAACATGGATCTCTGTGTTGCGAGTGTTTCCACCTTCACATTGGGATTTACTTGGCCATTTCTATTATTCTACTTGGTGCGGCTTTGGTGCCGTACCTACCTCATAACTTTTCCTTTCCATGCTTTTCTGTTTTAAAGAGTTTAAAACTTGCTGCTACATGGAAATGCATTTAGTTTTGTATTTTCAGTTGCATTTAGTTTACAATATATGACTCTGTACTTACATTTTCTCTTGCTACTGATTGAAGGGACACGTCCAGTGTGATATCACTGGTACTCCCATCAGGAAACATCTGCTGGCGCTGGGAGTGAGAAAAATCAATGAAACAATTAGACGGACTGAACTGAAAGTGTACTTTCATATTCTCACCAGAACTGGGTACGTGCTTATGCTAAAATATAAAGGCAGTTAAAATGGACACCAGTGGGGATTTATGGATATTCCATACTTTCAGCATTCTTACACTCACTCACTTTTTGCCGAATCTGATTGAGCAAAAAAAAAAATCAGATTAAGCTTGAGAGAACAGATTTTTTCTGAAGACTATAATTTCGTGCTCAATAATATGGTCTTTTTGTAGATATTATGAGCTCTTATCCATAGATGTTGCGCAAAGCTCAGTATGGGGCCTCTGGAGGGCGGCTGACAGAGACAGCTGTTCCCTTGGTGAGCTTCCTAGTTCAGGGGGCCTGTAGGTTCCACTAGCCATAGCAGACGCACATTAGGCTAAGCTAATGATCTCTCCCCTGCTTCCCATAGCTCTCTATTGCAAGTCTCCACAGGCATAATGAATTCACTGTCTGCCCAGCACAGCAGAAATACTCTGTCATGTTTTTGTGGCAGCTTGGCTCCTAATAAGTTAGCAAGAAGGAAAACCTTGTATGTCTTCTATGAAATCTTGTAATTTAGCTGCTGGTGAAGGGCTGGGCTGGGTGATTTTCACTTGAATTGACGATGGCCATGGTCTCTTAACAATTTCCAATCTTTTGAACTGAGGAATCACTTTCAAAATCAAAAATGGACTGTCAAGCAGACAAAGGAAGATAATCTTATGGAGGGTGATATATTACAGGGCTAAATATCAGTGCCAGCAGTGCCATTTTCAGTGCCAAGAACAATAGGTATTATATCCTCTTTCACTCCAGGCCGTACAGAAATACACGCACATCAATAGAATTTGAACGCTTGCCACCTGTTCACAAAGCCTCTGAAGAGGCGAGGAAAAACATCCTTTTTTTCTCATTTTGTGAAATATGTCTTTACATTTTGCACTATTGCAAACTGTGGCAATCTGTTGTGAAATAAAAGTTGGGCTGAGTTAAGGTTACTAATATCTTTGGTGTTAGCCACCCACAGAAAATGCAATCTTTGAAATGTGGTGTAGAAGATGAGATCTGCTTTCTGTCTTAATAAAGGGGAACTCCACCGATTTTACACATCAAGCTGTTTATAGGTGTTGGACTACAAGTTTGAAGATGAAAAAGATCTGGGGGATGGGAGCCTAGTGTGAGGCTAGTGGCTCGAGCCAGGTGTGTTATAGTAATGCATAAAACAACCAAACCGTGACTGAACTGTTGGTGCATCAAGTTACATTGTAGGTATCATGGGCCATCACTGGTCTGACAATGTTATGAAAGTGCGATGCTAAATCATTTTTTAAGTATTACTGATCAAGTGCAAACTGTTTGCACTTGATCAGTAATACTTAAAAAGTAACATTTTTAACATTTGATATTTGTATATAACTTGTAGATTATTTTAGTTAGTGTTTATCAGTCACAGGTGAATGGAGAACTGAATTAAACATGGTGTGTGCTGGTTAAAACAGAAGGATTATGACAAACACTGATGCAGCATATTTTGTAATTTAACTGTAAATCTATACATTGCCGTTAGTGGAAAAGACATTTGCTGTTGTTGGTTCTTACCAGTCGGACTGTCCCTGTCACTGTACCGTTGAAAACAGCCTTGGCAATAATGAATTGTCCATCTGTATCTCTGTCAGCCAAGATGTTAGCACACCTCAGTCTGCAGAGGAAATGCAGGTGCGCACACACACACACACACACACACACACACACACACACACACCACACACCACACACACACACACACACACACACACACACACATGCACACAAAGACACAAAAAGACAAACAAGATTAACAAGGCATCCAAATCCTTCAGGCTTAACCCTGAGGACACAATATTTTTGTTGAGTCATTCTTAATGAATGAGGGAGATTATCTGACATGTGAATCCTATACCTACAATTGCCCTCTGGTCAATAAACTGGGTAAGTCTGCTACTTTGCCAGAGGGCTGTTGAGGGTGCCGGAGGGTGGGGAAGCTTAAATGTTGGCTAGAATTGATGCAATTTTCTGTATGCTGTTCCTTATCTTATATGACTTAGAATGACAAATACTTTTTTTGCAACAAAAATCGGACATGTTCTAGCAAAGGTCTACTCAGTGACCACAGCACAGTAGTTAACCATTTCTTCTTGAGTCATAGGAACTTGTGGTCATTTTATATGTGAAATATTTTCCCAAACCTTCTTCTCTGTTTCACTTTGTCATTGTTGCTTATATCTCTCTAATGAGAACAAACAGGTTCTCACCTCGATGTGTTGGCGTGGTGAACCACCACTGACCTTCCCACGATGCTGTAGGGTCCAGTTAATGGCATGTTAGGGTCCATGTAAAGAGCCTCAAGCTGGTTTAGGTCATTCAGCATCCCAAACTTCCCACTGAGGTCTCCGATCTCATACTGGTCCACAGTGCCATTACCTGGTGATGGAGAGTTTGATACGTTCCAGGCTAATGGGTTGAAGTGGCCCATGATGTTTGCATTGGAGCAAGGCTCTTCGCTGCCAGGTTTGATGGGCAGTATATGAACATGGTAACCCCCAGCTATGGTGTTCAGGTTCATCAGGGATACATTTATAGTTGTGGGGCCTTGTGGGACAGCCTGGGAGAACAGCACTTGGCCGTTGGACATCCCAGGGCCAAACCAGCTACCTAAGCTAGCTTTGAGGACCCGCACCATTGTAACATTGGCACAAGCGATTCTTGGCCCTCCTCTTTCTGCTTGATGGATGACCACGGAACGACCAATAATGCCTGACCCAGGCAACCAGGAAGTGACATCAGTGAAGAAGTTTTTTGCTTCCACTCCACCCACTTTGGTGCCAAGGTTGATGGTACTGTGTTTGCCAGACATGTCTCCCACCTCACAGGATAAGGATCTGGATGGGGCACAGTGGAGGGCATAGCTGCTGTCTCCTGTGCTTATGTTAAAGGGGTTCCAGTGTCCACCTGTTGTGCTGCAGCGCCTTTCATCATCATCCCTCTCTGAGCTAATGGGATAGGTGTGAACATGCCAGTTGTGGTTTCTGGTTGCTGTCATTGTGGAATTTCCATACAACAGATCCGTGAAGATGGATACGTCAGACAGAGGATTGTTCTTCAACTGGGTGAACCAGATCTCACCAATCACAGGGCTCTGAAACCTAGCTCTGGCAACGATCACTTCACCAGGATAGCTGATGCTGGCGCAAGCATACCTGTCGCCGTTTGTTTGGTGAATCACAACTGAGCGACCTACGATACTGTTCTGTCCAAACAGAGGGAGGTTGAAGTCTGTGAACACCTCATCCACCTCGTTTCTATTGGCAAGGGACATATGCTTGGCGCTTAGGTCACCAATCTCATACCTGTCATGTGTTGACCCAGTAACCCTCGGGTATGATGGGTCAGCAGTGTTAACTTGGAATGGGTTCAAGTGGCCACCCACACTAGCATTCGAGCACTGGCTTGATTGAGGAGACCTGACTGAAGGGACAGGAAATTGGTGGACATGGTAGGTGCCAACTTTGTTCTGTAAGTTAGTGAGGTTCACCCTCAACTCTGTCGTATCAAATGGGGAAGCTTGACGGAAGCTGAAGTATCCTTTGATCCCTCTCATATTCACAGCAGCAGTCACCCGTTTCTCTGACACATTATAGATCTGAGCACACTTGTGACCTGACTCTATGCGGTAGAACAGAAAGCGAGTAGTGCTGATGTTGAAACTGAACTGGTCTAGACGTGTCTTCTCAGATTGCAAAGGGGTTCCGACCTTCACCACACCCAAAGAGGTCAAAGCGGAGGTGTTTAAGCTTCCTAGTAAAACATTACAGTTTGCGGCCATGCTCGTAGATCCAAAGAGAGTGATATTGGTTTGTGAGGCATTAACCTGACCGATTGTAACAAGGTCTACAAGAAGCCTTGGGTTCGTCTCTCCTGTGTTGAGGCGGATATAAATATTACCAGCGATTGGTCCTGTGAACCTGGCCTGACGAGTTAAGCGAGTTTGTCCCTGACTTACAACTGTGCAAACTTTAGTGCTGTTACATGTCTGCAAAGTCAGCGAGAAGTCGTCTAGGTTTGGTCTTTGATCAAAGAGACCTGACACATTGATATTGGAGTTTGGATCAGCTGTGAAGTTAAAAACGCTGGAGCCGATATTTGCTCTTGAGCAAGGTTGAGCAAAATGGCCATACATGACTGGGAACTCGCTGAGGGAAAAGTTAAGTGGACCACAGGATCCAGCTCCAGACACATTGACAGTGGCTGTCTGGGCGATGGAGTCAAACTGCACGTACCCTGTGACTCCTCCCATGTTCAGCGGCGCCACAAACTGAACACAGGAAATGGAATCTGAAAAGGACAACAAGGAGGAGGTGATGGAGGTGAGGAGGTTGATACTGGATGACCATGCAAATCCCTGAATTACATTTTTAAATTTTCAACTAGCAATTTTTATTTATAATTTTTATAATTTTTATATATTTGCACATTACTATATGGTTAATGTTACACAATTAAAGCAGTTGGTTAAGGCATGTTTCAAGACTTACAAAAATTATTCTGCTTCTTGGTACAATCATTTGTGTCCATATACTGTATATTGTTCATGTCAAATATTTGATACTAGACACAACTCCAACCTACTTCCACATCACACATATACAGCAAGTTGTTTTTTTATGGGACCAGTTCAGAAAAAAGTCTTAAAACCAGATGTGAACTAAGGGATAAACTTTCAGTATAGCTAAAACACAGTGCCTAATAAACAAAATGTGAAAAGCAGAAAATGTCTGAAATGAACATAAGACTCAAATAGTAATTACTGAAGAACTATGAGAACTATAACTGTAAGAACTAGGTAAAAAGCTTAACTGATATAACAAAGCACAAAAGGTGGAAACTGATGATGTTTCTATGTGAAACTTTGAATGAGTATGAAAGGGTTCAAAGATGGATAGACTTTTTGAATTAAGTTTCCGTATGAGGAAGTAAAAGCCCTTTTGAAAAGCGTCCATGAGATGAAGTGGAAGAATCTTAACAAAGATATAAAAACTATTTGAAGAGTGTGAGCTTCTGAAGCAAACATACTTATCAAACCACTTTCAAAATGCATATGATTGTTCATTTGCCCTGTGCAACTGTTTTTTTTACGCATGCTTAGGTACCAAGTCAGTGGCAGCACACAAAGACAAGGCGTGACATTTCATGAACTTTTAGGGAAAAATTGTCACTAACATACAGACTAATTAATCACTAAGTCACATATAACTTAAACTACCTATAATTAGCAACTTTACTCAATTTGTTTGTTTGACAAGACTCTATATAGTGCACTAGCAGTTAACGATAACTAAAGTATTTTTCCATAAAAGCTCTCAATCACTTAGAATATGCTGCTTGTGGGCGACACAGTAGCCCCCATATGGTTTTTATACTGGCAATTCAGTTGCATGTACCTCTTAGTTTCTATTCTCGGTACACTGTTAATAGCCACTTTCACTTCTTTAGTGTTAGCCCAGCAATTGAATTGACAGTTCACAGAAGAATTGCTACTTTCACAATGTGACCACAGCCCATGTGTAACATTATCTTCACTGACTTTATTTTGATTGCAATTTGAATTATTTCAAATACATAAAAAATGTATTTTTGTAGTGTGTTTAAAAGCTTTGACAAATGCGAATTGCAAAACCTCAGTGCTCTATGTTTAAGCTGGCAAACCTAACCTTGTTTATAGTAAACTCTCAATCAAATTGGTATAGAAAAAAAAATGCAATGTTTGGTTATTGTCCATTACCACATGCTACACCAGCAAACTGTGCATATTTGGGATTCTCTGTGGTTGTAGCTAGTGACTACCCTAAAATCACATTTCTAATTTTATAGTTTTAAACCTTTTCACAACAGAGTGTGGTTAGGGAGATGCAACTCTCATCAATAAAGCTGATCTGCTCGGTTAAGACTACAGTCAGTCTCAAAACAAGTTCAACGTTATAAAGAAAGATGATCAGTTTTAACCAAACCCAGCAGTCATTTAGGTTTTCCTTCCAACAGAGAAAAAGAGCAGCTGATGATGATAACAAACACAACACTAACCAAAAAAACAAACAAAAAAAACTACTCAGTGAAATGATCCGCTATAAGAAAAAAAACTTGCAGACTCTTTGTACTGAACAGCACATTGTTTAAAAACCCTGGCGTAAACATTACATTGCTCAGTAGATGAATCATCCATTAACTCCATGTGTGACTTTAAGCCAGATCAAAGATTGCAAAATGCTCAAAATACTCACCAAGTAAATAAAACAGCAGGGCAGCTGTCAGAAAGCACATGTTGCAGATGTGTGAAAGACGCAGCAAAGAAAAGGTGTTCTTAGTGTGGTTTGAGTAGGTGAGTGAAAAAAAAAAAACAGCTCGGTTTCAGCACAAGAAGTTCAATGAGAGCAAAAAGATGGCATCTATTTGTGTGTTTCTAAGTGTGTTCTACAGCAACATGTCATGTGGGATATGTGCAGCCTCTCTTGTACTTCTGTTTTCAGCTGCAGTCTGTCTGTGTCAGCCTGTGATTGGTCAGCCAGACAAGTCTTTCATGTATGGAGGCAGGGGAGGGAGGGAGAATATTAGGCAGGCTGGATGGGTGGAGGTGCCCGGCAATGGTGTGACCATGCAAATCAGTAACATATTTAATAAAGCAATACAAGCAATAAGGAAGCGTTAACCACGAGGGAAACACCCAGGTGGTTTTGTGTGACTCCTTGAAGATGATTCTGGTTCAAAGATTTGTTCTTTTCTTTCTCTGTTTAGGCCCTATTTCTACGTCTTCCTCTTTCTTCTCATACAATATGCCTCATCTGCCCTTGTGACAGGGCTGAGGGAGAAAAGGGGTGAAAATAGTAATGTGTTCCGAGAATAGCAGCCCAATGGCCCATCATTGTGAGCTGTTTGGGGTAGGCCACGCAGCTATTTACACATATTGGAGGGCCAGTGAAGTGGGTCAGGTCCTTCACTCGGCTTGTTTAGATCACTGATTGCGGCGGGAGCTGGAATCATGATGTGACCGCGTCTCTGTCGCTGCACGTACACAGGAGTTTACCCATATGTGCATGCACACACACACACACATGCAGAAATAGACAGTGACTGCTAAAGACTGGCACAAATAGAAACAGAGCAGAGACGTAACGTTGGTAGTCGACTGTTTTTTCTCAATGAGGCGATCCCCTTCCACTGCATGACACAGGGTGGCTCCCAGGAAAGCTTTTTCACTTTGTAAAGTAACTTTGAAAATGTCAGTAAACACAGGGAGAACAAAAATAAAGAATCTTCTATAGAGTATATAGTATATTAATTGACACCAATTACTGTATTTCCATGCATTTTAAGCGCACAAAAATTTTGAAAACATTGTATTGTAAGATGGCACAAATTACATTAAGGTCACAATTGATGCTGTCATTTTGTGAAATATATGAACCGATCTATAACACCACAGTTTTGAGAAATTTTACATGCAAACATAGGTGGTGAGCAGAATCTGAACCTGAATTTCATTATTACCTTGTAAATAGAATAATCTATTAATGATGAGAGGTTGATCATTTATTATTGAAAAAACTTCACCTAATGTTGTAATAATTCAGTCGCAGGCCCTTCCTTAGTCTTTTAATACAATACTGAGAATTGATTTCAAACAATCGACTTCATCGTCAAGTCGTGGGAGTTATGTTAAGGTTGGAACAAAAAGCAGGGCTCAGAAGAAGATTGCAAGAGATTTGCAAGACAAATACTGTTTTATTAGAGATTTGGTGTAACAAAGATTTGGGGAGCTGAGCCAAAGTTGACGGTGGAGCAGAGCAGGCAGGGGGAACAGGAAGGCAAGCTGAATCTGAACCATAGCAAAATACAGAGTCAAACTAGGTCCAAGCAAGCAGGAGAAAAACAGAAACTGAAACTTTGTGAGTTTGGTCATGGCGTTAGTGTCAGACTGGAAGACTAAAGCCGCTGCAGAAGCTTGATGAGTGGATTGGTAACAGGAGGGAATAGAATGCCACACAGAGAGAAGAGGGGACAAATAGGAAACACAAGGAATGAGGAAGAGGCATAGCTGGTATCATAACAGCACATAGAAAAATGTCAAAGATGTCAAAAGGTTTGCCAAGAATGCTGATAGAAAACAAAACATTCTGATGGATGATTGTAACATTTGTAACCTTGAAGGAACTCCTTCAAATTTGGCATAATCATTCATTTGGATTTAAGGATGAACTGGTTAGATTTTGGTGGTCAAAGATCAAAGGTCAAAGGTCAAGGTCACAGTCACATACAACTGCAAGGTGGTAATTCTAATTTCCCTCTAAAATTGTGGAATGAGAACTAAACTGAGCATGTACAGTATTTAGTGAATCAGGTGATTCATAACTTGTTCTTTATTGGAGAACTGACCAGTGTCACATCCCCGGTCTCTCCTATGACAGAAATGCCGCCTCATGGTTTGTATGCCCACTCAGACTAATTTAAGGTTACATCTCTTTAGCCAGAATCATATAAAATATGAACCATTTGTGTGAAATTTAGTCATAATTGCTGTGTGAAGTCTTGACTAATGGCTAAAAAGTGTTTTGTGCAGTCACGCTGACCTTGCACTTTGACCACCAAAGTCTAATCAGTTCATCCTTGAGTCCCAGTGGACATTTGTGCCATATGTGAAGAAATTCCCATAAAGTATTATTGAGGTATCACGTTCACAAGAATGGGTCGCATCTATTGAGATGTCATGCGGTGTGCCGTAAAACTGTCGTGACGCCACTCACGTTCACATTCACGTTCACGTTCATCATTTGTAAACTGATTCGTTCAGTTCAGTGTAAAATATGAACGTGTTCAATGAATGGCGTTTATGCACAACACTGATCCTGAATGTTGCTGAGTGACTGACTGAGTGAATGTCCCTGAGTGACTGAGTGATAATATTTCCACCACTGGTCAGCGGAGTTCCAAACCGCAGTCTACAGAAGCTGGTTTCCTGGCTGCTCGGGAACTGCAGGGAAGTGGAGGAGCGCTTCCATTACAGCAAATAATCTACTTTCATTACATGTATCATTATTACTAAAGGAGGCACAGGAATAACGAAACATAAGACACACCGAGCAGAAAAAGCAAGAGAGAGGGAGGGAGAGAGAAGTCATCAGTAACTAGGCTTTGTACTAACCACTATGACCAACTCTACATATCAAACCAGTTAGACAAGACCTTCCTCTAATAAAAGTCTGTTACATTCTGAAGTTGGAAGTAATTAAAAGCTAAACTATTCTAGATGCCATCTGATTTGTGAGAGACAAAACAAAAAATACAGTCTATCTCAGGGCGGGTGCCCTGGTGGCTTCCCTGGTGGGCTCAGGTTTGAGTCCAGCCTTTGGCCTCTCTCTCTCTCCCTAATTTTCCTGTCTTTCTCTCGCTATGACTGAAATAAAGGCAAAAGCCCAAAAACATAACTTTAAATTTTCAAAAAAGAATGAGCAGGCCACGCAGTAGTAGTCTGTCTCTTCTAACTTTCTCTCTGAGTGATCATTTCATAAGTGAATACAGCTGAAATCACAGCTTACTCTTTGTCTTTAATTTATGTGTTTGGTGAGTTTTTCAGATGACGTCACAGTTACAAAATCTGAATTTGACCAAAGGCGGTCCAGCCATATTCTAGGTTTTGACCTAGTCTTGTTTTACATTGAGTTTTACCTCTTTAGTCCTCTTTGGTTACTTAAATTAAATGATTTCAGAAGGCAGCAGGAGGAAACAGATTGCCTGAAAAAACAAGGGAGGGACAAAATAACCAGAACCTCTCCAGGGAGAGACTCAGCTGATATCAGGGCAGTATGAGGAAACAAGTCAAAGATGTCAATAAGGTTGTTAAGAACGCTGATAGAAAAAGAAACACATACACACACACACACACACACACACACACACACACACACCCACACACACACACACACACATACACACAAAGTGACTGTAAGTGGCATACTGCATATGGTGTAATGAAAACTAATAAAATAAACTAGCAGACAATGCATTTTCTATAATCAAGTTCAGTGATGAGAACTGGAGTGAGGATGAGATCTCACTCTAAGCTGGTGCATCTGTCAGCATGTCTACTCCAGGTACGATGCAGGGTGATGTTGTTGTAGACAACAATCACCCTCATTGTTGATAATGAAAAAGGAAGTATAATACAGCCTAATAAATGTCCAGAGGACTGCTGGCTGCTGTGCAGTCCAGCCACACCGGTCTCTGAGAATTTGTGCATTATCTCCAGGTAGAACTATTGTAAAATGAAAACACCAACATACAATAAACAAATAATAACATTCCAATAAATCTCAGGGGCCACTGTCTGTTCTGATTGCTTCTAAAGCACATTTCTTCTGAAAGTGACAGTGCATTCAGTACGTAATATACAGTGCATTCAGAACGTATTCTGACCCCTTCACTTTTTTCACATTTTGTTATGTTGGAGCCTCAAGCTTAAATCATTAAATACCCCATAATGACCAAGTGAAAACAGAATTCTAAAAATTTTTTGCTATTTTATTAAAAAGGAAAAACTGAAATATCACATTGACATATGTATTCAGACTGCTATGACACTTGAAATTTAGCTCAGGTGCCTCCTATTTATCTAGGTCATCTTTGAGATGTTTCTACAACTTGATCAGAGTCCAATTGTGGTAAGTAGATATGATTCAGAAAGGCACACACCTGCCTATAAGGTCTCACAGCTGAACATGTATATCAGAGCAAAAACCAAGTCATGAAGAGGAAGGAGCTGCCTGCAGAGCTCAGAGACAGGATTGTGTCGAGGCTCAGGTCTGGGGAAGGCTACAATCTGCATTAATCCTTAAATGGAAGAAGTTTAGAACAACCAGGATTATTCCTAGATCTGGCCGCCCAGCCAAACTGAACAATCAGGGGAGAAGGGCCTCGGTAAGAAAGGAGACCAAGGACCTGATGGTCACTCTGGCTGAGCTCCAGAGATCTTGTATGGAGACGGAGAAACTTCCAGAAGGACAACATCACTGCAGCACTCCAGCGATCTGGGCTTTATGGCAGATTGGCCAGACAGAAGCCTCACCTCAGTGAAAGACACATGAAAGGGGAAAGAAACTGCAGCTTGCATAAAGCACCTAAAGGAAACTCAGACTATGAGAAAGAAGATTCTTTTGTGAAACCAAGACTGAACTGTTTGGCCTCATTTGTAAGGGTCACCAGTAGTTATTACTACATTATTAATATGAGTAGTAATGGCTCACACCACACCCACATTCAAACATAACGTACATCGTGTTCACACACAATACACACCTGAAAAAGTACTCAAAACCGCCTCTGTAGAAATTCCTGCTACTGTAGGTGTCACATTGTGCCATGATGACACGCAGATTCACAAGGGGAAAACTAGACCAACGTCTGTGTGTGGCT